GCCACTCTGTGCCGAATTGAGTCTTTCCGTTCTGAAGTAACGTCAGTCAGCGCTAAATATGATCTGAAAGGGCTGAAATAAACCTGAAAAGCTAACCCAGTAGGTTCTGATATACTCCTGAAAATGCCTAGGAAAAGAACACGTCGCTGAATTTATGTCAGCCATGCTGGAAACCACCACTGAGTTATAGTCTGTGTCATTAAACAGTCCATTTCAGAACAGATTCAGAATTTGCTCACCAAAGGATGCTAGAATTATATCAGAATTAGTGAGATTTAATTCAGCATTATAGTAAGCTTGGGCAGTGAAAGACATATTTACATGATGACTTCTGTTCCCTTAGAGGTTTCTGTTAGCATTTATAGGTGATTCCTATGTACTGATACCATTCTTTTGTCAAATAGTACTGTCCTAACACTAAAATAGCCAGATTTAGACGTGGTCTCCATTGAATGATACTATGTCGAAAGCCGCAGCTCCTACAAGAAGTAAACTATTTGTGAAGATGGCATTACCCTCCAACTACTCCATCTTCCTCATCGTAGCGATGTTTTGACTCAATCCGCATGAAACACTAACCATTACAAACAATATGCCAAGAGTGTGTTATAGTCAAATCACACGACGTGGACACCAACATAACTAGTCAGGAAATGAGAATTCCGTTCAATCCATAAAATCCATAACACAACTTTATTGAAAATTATTGACAAAAACATTTACCGAGCGAAATTTCAACGAACATGCCGGATAAGTCCGGCCCATATAACGAGGAGATGTACCTCAAGCATAACAGATTACCTTCTAAAATGACACGATCTCGTTTAATCTGCGTCAATTGTCCAGGTAGTAAAAGATCCTGAACCCAACATTATTACGGAAAACCAATCACTGCCTCAGATTTCCACGTGCATATCGGAAAGTAGATTGGCAATTTGAAAATTATCTATTTTTCATCGATAATGAACATGTACTGCTTGGTCACAGAGCACAAAATCTATGGATAGACATCAGCACAAATCAGTAACACTTCTATCGCTTTTTTCCAGTCTTCTTCCAGGCTGCATTCGATTAGGACACCATTGCTGCCGTTGCTTGCAAACTAAGTGGAGATCCATTCGAATAAATAATTATATACTGCCCACTCAGTGTTTACGAACATGGGAACCCCTAAGCGAAAAAGGGATTCATCCTTTTCTTCTATCACAACCAACCTACATAGACTTGACTGTCAATGGAAAAACCTGGGTCATCAACTTCAAGACTGAGATGGAAGGTAAGACAACAAGAAAAACAAGCAACGTGCCTACCCACACCATACTGGCTCACTCTCACCCTTATCAGAGACGATGTGCACAATCTGGCTTACAATGAATTGACTCCTACCTTTGGCTTCTTCTTGACACCACGAAGCACGCGCGCCACCTGCTGTAGCGACCCTTGCAGAAACCGGCACAACTACATTAGTATAACGTGATACTCTTTTTACACGCTCTCGTCTGCCACGTACCTACTGTCACTGTTACCGCTTGTTACTTATTATGCCTTGGTCCTCGTAACAGTGACGTACTCAAGCTTCAGGCGTTACTTTTCATCCCTCCAGCATGTGGGGCCTCGACTGTCAATGACACAACTAGTCCTCGAATAGACCATCTATATGCTGGCTATTCAATTTTCGCCATCATTTACAAACGTTGTCGATAGTCAGTGGAAAACCGAAGGATGAAATAGACCTATTCGGTAGGCCTAATGTTGTTCCTTATACCAGCTTGACGGTAATAAGGCAGTCACCTTACTTCACTGCATTTCGTATGTTGAGGAGGGCCAAAATGTTGATTCAGTCCAGTGTACATCTTTTGAAGTTGATGGTCAAATCTTTAGTTGCCAATGAAAGCGTTTTACTATGCCATTGGCTTAAAGTTTCTGAGCTCTTTTTCTGAAAAGATTTCAGCCTAGAAGTTTGGTCAGGGCGGCCACAATGGGCCACTTTCCAACTGCCATCCCTGACCATTTATTATAGCAGATAGGCATCTAGGACATCTAGCGCAATCCATCTTTCTACGAAAATGAGCATTGCCGTTCACCAAAGAGGCAGTGTATCAAGCTATCGAGTTTCATGAACAACAGATATCATCATGCAGGCATATCCATGAGGTTCTGGGAAGGTTCCCTACAGATCATATTGACATGGATAAAGGGGGCATCTTGTGTAATAGGAGAACCTACGAGACCTATTGCCCTGCATATTTTATACGTTCATGCCTTACTCAGTGAATACAGAAGGCCAGCATGCCCAAATGGTGACGTACTTGGCGGCAGCTCGGATTTCTAAGCGATGTAAGTCATGAAATATATTGAGGACTTTATGTCAGAAACTTTCATTCAAAGAGTATACCTGAAAGGATGGCAAAAATAATATTCGTACTGTTGCATAACAGTTTCTGTTTTAATTCCAGGGCTTTTCCCAACAAACCTTGTTGATATTTTTGACAGATAAGCTTGCTTCACAATGTTTGTGTTGTTAGTTTGGATGCAGGAACTGATATACGACAAGATGTCTGCGACAGAATTACTGGCGAATATCCGAAGTTAACTGGAGTGTGTAGTTGACCTGATGTGATTCTCCTGTTGACTATCTTCGGTGAGAGTTCTAAAAGGTTGCGTCCAGATATGCGAATTTGGCACTACGCTGAATAATTTCAGAAGTTAGGAATGGACCGATAATAATAGCTTGTCAAACGGTTTAAATTGTGGTGTGACGCAGTTTTTTGGCACCGGAATGTTCAAGATTGCCCTCATTCCACTAGCCAGTTGATGGATATCTTCGTGGTCCGTGGAACGGCCAAGAGAGTAAAGAGGCTCTCCTCATTTTGATACCTGGATTGGTTTTGATTATTTAGAAACTGAATTTTCTGGCAGAGTATTTATTCAAATTAGAAAATGGATGGCATTTTTATGTCTTTTTTTAAAAAGCGCGGCAGTTGACAAGTGAAGCAGGAAACCTAGGCAGACACACTGGAATGACATTCATAATTCAGTCGATAAAGGGAGCCTTACAAATCGTAAAGAAGACTTTGTTCCTTCTTTGGTACGCATCCCTTCCTTCTGAGTCTCTTAATCATCTACCACTTCTAAGTAGTAGTAACACATAATGTCTCAGAGGCACTAAATTAACCTGCTAGAGATTATCTTACATATGTGCACTTGAGATGAGCAGTCGCCTGATAACCGTTTGTTAAGTAAAAATGGCAGAATACTGTGTCGGTGCAACCTTGGAATATCTCAGTCGCATTTTGAAGGCCGTATGAACTTGGTAGAAATTTGGATTGTTCGATTGATACCTGATACAGTCTGTTTTTCTGTGCTATCTAGATTTGATTTTACGTCTTGACCGAATCAGTTCTTGAATGTCTAGTTGCATAATATCGTGTTGCCGTTAACTAAGTGAGAGATCGTCTCGACGATCCGGTGCCATGAACGTCTGCGAGTCGTCAGTCGCAACCGCCTTTCACTGGTAACGCCAAGAATACTTGACGGCCAAATTATACCGATATTTAGCAAAATATCATTCATTCTTGGCAACCTCAAGTTGTCGAGTACTAGTACAAGCCATTGTAGACTACAGGTTATCCAGTGGTTGCAACGTGATACATGCCCTTGCCGACAAACGTGATAAAGTTTCCGTAAGATCAAATATTATCTTCTTAACCAATAAAACTTCGACCTGAGTAGAAAGTTCAGCAGTACAGTTTATTAGTTATCACCTTCGAGTTTATCGCGAAAGTTCTCCGTAATATTTATATCCTTGGTGGAACTGAAGAGTTCGCTCTATTAATTAGCTTGGTCTTCAGAACCATGATACCAGGACCCATACCGGATCTTAGTCACTCATAGCTTAGATTTCGAGCAACCACCTAAGCCGGCGGTTGGAAGGACCGTGTGAGCTAGTTGACAAGGGAAACAATTTAACAGAGTTAAATATCTCTATCTTCTTATATTCGACACTTAAAATATGGTACTGATTGAACCTATCTTTGTTATTGGCTTTTTCGGTATTTCCAGGGTTTACCAGCTAATGTCTTGAAACCGGTTCGGAATTCTCCTGCACCCTACATAAGGAACAAGATTCACATGCTCAACATATATGTCAAGTCAGTCCTTCTATACCGGTCAGAAACTTACACTACGAAAAGGATTTCCAACAGGCTGCAGACTTTTATCAACAGCTGCCTTCTCTGGCTCCATATTGAATATCAAATGACCGGCCGGCAGAAAGAATTGGCAACAAGAAACTTTGGCTGGGAATAAACCAATCAAGGGCCGATCTCTCAACAAATACGCAGGAGAAATTGGAGACGGATCTGGCATACAATGAGGCCGTCGAATGATATCGCGCCAGGCGACTGCTCGAGTAGAATCCCAATTGGATGCGATGAGTGGGTCGTTATAGTGTGAGGTTATCGTGTGAGGATGAGATGAGAGTTTGGACGATTGTGGACCCAGATATAGAGGGTGGCAGAAAATAGACCTAAGTGGATATGCGTTGTTGAAGCCCTATGTTTCACTGGGAACGCAAAAGAACAATAATAATAATAGTAATACCAGTCAATGTTACTAAGTTGTCGATGGAGATTGTTTGAAGTGTGACAAACGCAGTCTGTGCTGACTATCTCAACTTAGACGAAATAAACTCTCTAAAGAACACTCCATAAAATTAGATGAAAGCTGAAGGCTATAAATTTAGGGGAACTGTTTACCGCTACAGAATTTTTAAATGTTGGCGCTCTGTCTGAACATTCCTGCATGGTCACGCTTTCAGCGGCTGTTTTGAGCGGGAGGGGTGTTGCAGTTTAGGACTGCTCTTTACAGTTTGAGATTTCCTGTCTAGCCAGGTAACTATATGATCTGTGAAATTCTTCTATTGTACCGTAGAATTTTTACAGGACTTCATCCTTGTCGAAGAATTCTCAAAGTAACAATTTGGCGCCTGTGTAAATATAATGCCGATCTACAAAGGTTAGACCCTTGGCAGGCAATAACGCTTTACCTGTAGTTAACGTTAAATGGCAGAAGAATAAATATACAGATGTAGAGTGTAACACAGACGAAAGCCCTGAGGTTTTCAAGGCCTCGCTTTTTTCACTCACTGGTGTTCCTCCTGACCGCCAGAAAATTATCCTACCCGGTGGAATATTAGGAAATGATAATTACACTGGCATTGAACTCAAAAATGTAAGGTTATCAGTTTTATAACTTCTGGTCTCCAAGGGAATAAACGTGATGCTGGTGGGGTCGATTGGTGAGGTCCCTGTTAGCGTCGCGGTTACGTCTGAAGAAGTAGTGTTACCCCCAACAGAAGATCCCATCAAACTACCACGTGGCCTAATGAACATAGGAAATACATGTTACATGAATGCAGCCGTACAAATGTTGTACTCAATCCCGGAATTCCGCCTGGCTTTACAAATGTGAGTTGACGGTGTAGTTCTGACTTGTGTTACGGTATCTGCATATGACTTTATAATAATATGTTTTCACTTCAAGAGTTCATGAACATACTTCCCGGACAAATCTTTGCGTTATTTTTTAGCTACTGGCAGTGTTTGGACATGGGTACGTGTTGCCAGCAATTAGTAACTTCTCTACTAATATCAGCCTTGCCTTAAAACTACAGCAGTTTTTGATATAATCAGTACCTGTGTAATATCCTGATTATTAGCGGACAAAAAACGAAATGCTGAGGAAATATATCAAGGGAATTTCATCTTCAAAAGCTGTACTATCTCATGTTCATACGTATGCTTACATCATTCGAATTATTTATTTCAAGGTAGTAAGATAAATTAACAAAAGTATTTCTCAACTTGGAAAGAGTTTGAAGATGTAAATATGGATCATAAGGAGCATATAAAAATTATACAGGAGTGAACAAAACAGTTGTGTAGTATGTAATATAATTGTTAGGGGTATTAACGGGATGTAATTTGAAACTATAGTCGTTTTTTAAACTAGGAGTTAAAAGCTACAGTTGTGGCGGCAAACAGAATTATATTCATTGCAAATGTTCCTTTTCAACACAGCTTCGGCTTTTCGATACCTGTGGTGAGGTATTTTGCAGGACAAAGACCTGTTTTCGACAGCCTGTTGAAATTTCACCCCTTCTTGTTTGAAGAAGAATACGAAGAAATGTGCACAAGATTACGTGACGTTTGTATGATTGCATTCTCACAATGGAGATTTGTGGACAGATTTAATGTGGTATGGCGTTCCTTAGTATATACCTACACTAATATTGTTACTCGGAAGAGATACAACTGATGACGTAATAATGCGTTAGTAAATACTAGTACTGTCGCTTCCATCTAGTCCCAGGGCTATCAAAAAGTGAATTGTAGGTACGTTTGCAATACATACAAGCCACTTCAGTTGATGTCATTTATTAAAAAATGATTTGCATCTTGTCTGGGCACACTTATGAAGCGATTCATGCGTTATCCCCTGCTACAAAAAATTCTACTAAGATGAGCTGAAATAGAGTTGGAGACATTTCTTGATACGAATTTAAATCCTGTATCATTATTTGTTGCTTGTGTTCACTATAAAACCCCAAAACCTAGCTCCGCTCCTATAACTATAACGATTCCAGCGAATTCTAAACGTCTCTAGAAGTCACAAACAGTTCTGTTGCAATTTATTTGGAACTTTCCGTTGAGGGATTTATGTATGCATGTATTCATGCTTCCACAGTTTATTATATTCAAGTATGTCATCTAGTTTCATCGCACTAATTATTTATACCAACCAGAACTGTGCACAATTCTGTCATTTTACAATGACTCGCATTCTAAACCACCAATATATTTCATAAGAAACGTACACTGTGTCTAGTGTCTTCGAATTTTACTCATGTTGTAGTTACTGCTCTGGTCTACCACTTAATTGTTGTTTCATTTTTTGAACGTAGATGTCCTCCACATATTCCTTTGGATTCAACAAGTTATGATGCACTATGCGAAACGTTGAAGTTTTTATTCACATCGATGAGCAAATCTGACGTACCACTCACCCCTGTGCTTCTCCTTACTTGTTTGCACAATGTGTGTCCCCAGTTTGCTCGCGAAGCTAGAGATGTCGGGAAATCGCCTCAAAACCCATTATCCGTGATTTCCCCAGTTTTTGAACAACAAGATGCTAGTGAGTGTTGGACAGAACTTATCCGGGCAATACAAAGAGCTACAATTGATTTTCGACCTTCAATGAGTATTCCGGTAACTTTTCCTGATATAATGATGATTCTTTTATAATTTTATATCGTCAGCAGTTATGCATGTAGAGTTGCTTATCTATCCTGATATTTTAGTTAAAGTTGCCACACTCCCTCCATGTGTCACACAAACCAAGAGAAGAGAGTAAAGAAAGATTCATCAAAAGAGATACTAAACAGAAGTATGAGGCAAAAAACAACAGTAATGTCAATGAACAATACAGTTTCATTGAATATTGTAAATCACAAGGAGCGGATGCATCTGGGCCATTATCGAGAACAATTTTGAGTCATATCACCAATTGTCTCCAGTCGTTGGTGGTTTTTACATTCCGAGGATCCCAACCAGTGAGGTAGTCTACACCATCCTACGTGGCTAGCTTAAACTAACGGTTGTGGCCGTGTTTTGTTTTGACTACGACTAGCTCTATTCGAACCTGATCCATCCTGTGTCAACTAACACTCACTGTCGACGAAGGCGATCGATGGCCTGGGATGGATGCGTAATACATGTCCTTACCATCTCAATCGATGTAACTTCACAGCCTTGTCTATTGATTTCCCCTTCTTACCTAGTTCCCAACCGAAGACACCTCAATATCCCTTACTTTACTCAGATGTCATCGGTAAATAATGCTGCATCTTTGTGATTTTATATAAAAAATTTATTCAACCGTGGTTCAGTGGTTGATTGCTCCCCAACCTAGCATGTGGTCGAGTTCAATCCCCGGTCGGCGCACACCTCTACTTTCTTTGGCCAGTTGTAAGCCCGATAAAGACGGGAGGTGTTGTGTGAGGCTAGCTACCCCTCTCCGTGAACACTACCACTGATAGGGATGTAAAGGAATAAAAAAATCCAATTATTCTTATATGTAGAGTATTAGAATGCATGCAAAAGATTATCGTACATAGAAGTAATCAATCGGCTAGAAACTTTGTATATGAATATGAACAGAATGTATCTGCAACCCCAAATAGATTTTTAATCCTATCGAGACCTCGAATTGTATCAATCGTTGGTTAAGTCACCAATTTTTACCACCAAGCTGTTGGGTTCACACAAGTTTTATGTTATTTTCGCTTTTATCGAAAGAAGACAAATCGGTCGTGTGGCTTTCCGAGTGTTTTGACCAACCGGCGTCATCCATCCCCTTGGAAATTTGGTGGAGAGCAAGTTGATTTTTTCGATGGTTTGAAGTTTCAGTAGCTTAAGACGTTTTTCACGGGCGTAATCACCAGTCCAAACAGGATACAATGCTTCTTTACGGACTAAGTGGCAAGTGAAGGTTTAAGTATCAACCACCACTAACAGAAGAAATCTGAAAGACGTCTCCTTTACTCACCTATCCATCATGGCATAGTCTCATTTACAGACAAGGGGGCATAAATGAGAATGTCGAAGTCAGCCGAGCATTCATTACTCTGAAATCAGTGTGCATGTGGCACTGAGCACAGCGGACATGATCCAGAAGTCAAGTCTATACCCAGTGTGGTTCGGGCATCATTGAAACCATTTCCAATAAGCTGCTTCTGAATTTTGTGAACAGCTACTTTCTTTTGATAATAAAGGTGACATATCCGGTTGGAAAGGATAGCCAATAGAGGACTCCTGTAATGAACTGATCGAAAACCTATATCAATGAATATACGGAAGGAAATAGAGGTGGATTGAACACATACACCACGCTAAGTCCTTAAGTGAAAAGCGATGAGTTCGACGTAGGTTCGAGGGTAAAGTGAAGGAAACTATATAAAGAGGCAATGGAAGTTTGTGGGCACTATGAGATTAAAGCATGATTGATGGTGAACAATGCAGTACAATAGAGATGTCATGATAAAACCCTATCGTCCACTCAGCACAAAGAATGAACAATACTATGACATTTTCAGGCACCTACTGTTGAAGGATTCAAGTGACAATAACCTATGTTCACACCTTTCCAAGGATCAACGCTTACTATCTTTAATCAGAAAGGGCACACTGCTCTACTCCTAAGACGTTATGTCACTGGTTAATATCCAGTTGAGTCACGGCTTAGGCTGTATAACTTATTAACTGATTTTTATTACCAAGAATCAGTGATTGTAGATTCTTGCTGATACGGCTCGAAATTGTTAAAATGAAAACGATGTATGCGCTTCTTGCTGTCAAAAGTGTGGATATTTCTTTCTACGGCACATCGTTCACAGTTGTATCATTGCGTATGCAATAAGAGGACTATTGAGCCAAGCAGGTATAAGCATTTCATCTATCAACCATGTACTAATAATGTATTGTTTTTGATGCAAAGTTATGTATTTGCTTAGAAAATATCAGTATATGTTTTGTTTTATTTCCGATTTAGAATTTACCTGAAAGTTTCCGTTCAAATTCAGAGTGGAATCCTGTAGATCGATTTCTTACTGGTCGAATGTCATGCAAATTAAGCTGCACAGAATCGGAGGAACCTGAATTAGAAACTGTAGAGACATTTACTCAGTTGTGTTGCTTCATAAGCCAAGGTTATTTGAGCTTTGATTAATTAATGTAGTATTTCTTATAATGGTTAAATGCGTGTGTGTTTCATGTGGCACTTTGATAATTCTTAAATTTATGTACATGGTTGTACGTCGTTGACAGTTCCAGCCCCTTGGTGACTAACAGCACTAGTATCAGTGTTTGAAATTAGAATAACTGATCCACATCTAGCAATGTCTTAATGTTGGTCTGAGTGTCAAGTTTGAAGCTTACTAGTCTTTGTTATTTGTGGTTCTTATATGCGAGTGCCATACAAGCGCAGGATTTTTAGTTGCATTGCATGTTTAATCGCACCTGATAGCGAAACCGTTTAAGTGAATATTAATTGCGAAGGGCAGTTTCAGACATGGCGAATATCACCGATTACTAAATAACTTCACTTCCAACTATTGGATTCCTTAGCTTGGACGTGTTTCACAAATTTTGTCTCAAAGTCTATGCGAGTGTTTAGAAAAAGTTAGGAGTTGATGAACATTTATATTGGTGATCATATCGTGGTAGCTTTTTTCTACTGAAAAAACGAATATCATCGTGAATTAATGGTTACCCTTTCGTCCTGTAATTTTTTGACCGTTTTCCACCTTTTCTATAATATTGCTTTTAGCTTGCAGTTTAGCGATTTTTCGTGGTCATATGCACCCGTTATCTATCACAGTGACTTCTTGAAACTCCGTTCATTTTCACTGACTGACATCTATTTCAACACACGGCTTCATCACACATTCAAAATGACTGTCATACCATTTTCCTGAGATCTTCATTAAAAAGAGTAACTTGTAACTTACTACAAGGGATCGCAAAACTTGTGTGAAAAGCTAGTGGTGAATTTGACTCCCTGTTTCTTTGCATTTATGTTATTCATTTACTTTAAGCTGACATCTTCCCTTTAATCTGTCTTCAAAAATATTGTTACAGATGTGAAATACCTGGTCACTGGCATTCGAAATGGTTTTACAGGAAATTTAACTAAATACTCGCCGCTGCTGAATCGTAATGCTGTGTACAAACGAACTTCTTTGATAAGTCGACTTCCTGCATATTTATCGATCCATTTTGTTCGCTTCTTTTACAAAGAAGAGAAGCAGATTAGTGCTAAGGTGAGTGTTTATTGTTTTAAAGCTATTTTTGTAATCATCAATGTAATGAAAACTCTCGGTTTGATTTACCCAATCCTTGTGATGAGAAGTAAAAGGTCTGAGGGACATCGTTGGGATATTATTACATAGTATGCCACGTTGTTCCATATGATCAACCTTTACGCTGAAGGTTTTGTTCGATAAGATTTCGTTAAACTAATATTAGTGCTTTCTTTTAACAGATTTTAAAAGATGTAAAGTTCCCGCTTACTTTGGATATGCATGAATTTTGCACACCTGAATTACAAAAGAAGTTACTACCGATGCGCGAAAAAATTCATCTACTTGACGAAAATGAACTGACAAATCCATCGAATCAAACGAAATCGTCAAAACTCAAAGCAGGTTAGTATTTGAACTGGTGTTTCAAAGTATATATTAAGCGCTAGAAAAGTTGTTGCGTTTTTTAAGACTATTGTTGACTACTCAACTCTTCATTTGTCAGCTGGAAAACTTGTAAGCATAATGAGCAAATGATACTTTAAACACCTTTTGACTTAATGGGGCTATGTTTATTACAACTGTCACTGTTCTATTATTAACCGTAATTTCTACAGGAAGACCTATCTAGCTCAAACTGAATAGTCAATCAATGAAGCGTAGTTACCATAACGCTTCCATAACTGTTTCCTACTATTGATTTCCTCGTCTGCACGGTTGTATTTGAAAGCAAAGCGGAAACCGTGCAAAAATCCTTGAAGTATGTTCCACATTCTGTTCATTATATTATAATAATAATAAAGAATGTAGCTAACATGAGCTACTTGAATGAGAACTAAGTCAGTAAATAAGTGTAGGAAGATAATTACTTAAAGGTCTCAAGTTTCAGTTTCACATATGAAAACGAATATATGAAGCGAATAAATCCATTAGATTATTGTTCATCTGTAAACGCCCAGTGAGAATAATTACCATTTCACTTGGAAGATTGAAAGCAATCGCTTCTCAAATTTGACAGTTATCAACCATTTGCATTTTAACCTGGTTACTTTACAGCCAAAGTACACTTTCAAAACAGGCTAAAACTGTATCAACTGCTTACCTTTTAACAACCACTCAACAATGCACACTTAAAACAATTAGTCTTGTGGGTGTTATACATAATGCTCATCTGTAGTTCGACTTGGAATACTTAGTGCTTTAGTGTTGATGTATGCATAAATTTTAACGAGTAACCATAAACTCAAAGATCTAGTAATAGTCGCGTCTGCGATAACGAGTTTGTACGACTATAATTGTCAACTTCGTTCTGCGTACTTTTGTCCATTATATTGATAAACAATTTGAATCCGTTTACACTGTTGTAGTATTTTCATTTTTCTATAGATGCAAAGATCATCAGTTTTAATTTTAAAAAATCTGTTCCTGCAATAAATTTTCGTAAATCTCTACTCGTGAAATTGCTGCAGCTGATATTGTTTACTTGAACATTCAACAATCTTCAAATATCTTTTAGATGCCAAACAACCTGATCCATATCAAAATCCTGAACTGTATGAACCTTACTGGTTTTCTGATGATCCTGGCTCTAATAATTCTGGATACTACGAGTTACAGGGAGTTTTGAGTCATCAGGGTAGAACAAGCACTAGTGGACATTATGTTGCTTGGATAAAAAGACAAGGTGAGTATTTTCTTAAAAGTTAGTTTAAGATTTTTACCACTGTCATCCAATGAAACAAAACACATTAACAAGGGCACTTAAAGTTCATTTTCTCACTGTAAAACTAAGGTTAGACAACATACACACCTTTCATGGAAATGTCATTTTAAAAAATCCCAAGAAAAATCTTCATTAGTAGGTTTTCAAATGTTACTTTTTACTTACTTGCTTTATTCAGTCTTTCGCATATTCTGTTGCGGTAGACAAAGTTGAATTTCATTTCAGCTAGTTGCTTATTTCTGCACAGTAGAATACTGTCTTCAGTGAGCTATTCCCACTTAATGTCTTAAAGTTGTTCCCTTACTAATGAATTGGAGTACTTAGTCTTCAGTTTTTGGGTCATGTGTCTAATGCTCATCTAATCTACTACACCCCAAGCATCTGGGATACCCTAGTTCTAAGTTAACTCTTATGTTCAGTGCACGCAGATCATTTTAAGACTTCTATATGGATTTCTGGTAACTTGAAAGGACATTTGGAATGAGTTATCTTTCGATCCACTCAAGTGGTAAAATTATCAACATACTAATAGCTAACAAATTTTAATGCAGTGAATTGTTAGTACTACTTATGAATTATGTCCGAATTATTACAGGTATATGGTTCAAGTTTGACGATGACCGTGTAAGTCAAGTAACCCCAGAAGACATTTTGCGCTTATCCGGAGGCGGTGACTGGCATTGCGCGTATATCTTACTTTATGGACCCCGTTGTGTGAAGAAAGAATCATGTGAGAACACCGCGAACAACGCTGAAGCTTTAACGGCTAATGGGAATTCAATGAATCATGGAGACAACTCGAATTGCCAACGTTCATGAAAATGCTTTGAATTCCGATGACGTTGTTTATGAGTTTATAAGGCCAGTTTTGACCATCTGTACGCGCATCACGCTAACATTCGAGTATTTTGTTAAGATGGTTAATGTCATTATTTTCACTTCATAAAATTGTGATACCATGTCATTTCTTTTTCAACTGTCATTGTGTCTTTTTTATATTCAACATCATAAACAAGCACTGAAGTTCTTCCAGCTTCCTTTTGACTACCTATCATCAGAGTGTTTTACAAGCTGAGCAATACGAGGTGAGGACACTGAGTCCCTATTCAAGGAAGAAACAGCTTAACGCCAATCTGAGGCTGACGGCAAAACTCATCCTGAGGAGGTGTGACATGCTGTAGAAACAGTGGGGTACAGGCTGTTGATAACCGATACCCAAACGTTAAAAAATTCTAGTGGATTTCAGCAGCACTCCACTCAAACCCATGCAACCAGGTAAGGGCCTACGATGAGTTGTCATCTGAAATAGTGTCCGTCAGGTATGCCCACTGTCCCTATTTCTTCTCAATACCATAAGGAATATACTAGAGGAACTAAACCTAGCTGACTTTAGCAACTAAAGGCTTAACATGTAGCCAAGAAATCATCTCATTGACTTAGACCATACAGATGATATAGCTCTTCTAGGTGAAGACGCTGACGAAATCCAGAGCCGTCTGAACATATCGAACAGAGATCTTCGAGTGTCTGAGATGCGGTTCGCTCCCGTCGAATGCAAGATGATGTTACAGGACTGGACTACATCGACGCCTAGTTTAAAAATAGGAAGTGAAGTGGTAGAGCACGTTGACCGCTTCACTTATTTGGGAAGTACTATCTGCCCCAACGGGCTGATCTCTGACAAAATCTCAGCACGAATACAAGAGGCTCGTTTCGCATTTGTTAGTTTACGCCGACTCTGGCGTAGACGAGATATTCGACTATCGACCAAAGGGCGGGTGTACTGCTCATCAGTCCGCTCCGTCCTCCTTTATGGTTGTGAGACCTGGCCACTGAGAGTGGAAGACATGAAAAGACTAGCTGGCTGTCTTTGATCATAGGTGCCTGCGTTCTATTTCCCGTGTAAAGTGGCATAATAAGGTGAGCGTTATTTAGGTTAGGCGTAGAGTTCTAGGCAAACAGGGGAAATCAATCGACGAAGTCGTGAAGCTACAAAGACTGAGATGGTTAGGACATGTGTTACGTATGCCAAGCCATCGCCTCCCTCGACGAGCAATGTTAGCGGATATAGGGTCAGGCTGGAAAAAAGCTAACGGCGGTCAAACAAAAGCATGGCACCAGTCAATAAAATCTACAACAGTTAGTCTAAGCTACGTAGAAAGCTGCTACCTTGACGTGGTGGTCGGGCTTGAACACCGCAATGATCTATTCAAGCTATACTGGCTGAGACTTATGTCTCTTGAGGTTCTACCATGCCAGGCAGGTTGTTTGGATAGCGGTTAAACAAAAAGCAGCTACCCAATCCAACATCATGTCCAATACAAAATTTCATGCCGGATCGGCCGTGGCCCGGATTAACAACGACCGCGCTTCCTGCTGCCGTGTCACAGGGCGGGAGTGATAAATCTGCTACTGAGACACACCAAACAAAAAAGAACAAACAAAAACAGGCCGCGTGTGACCGGCCTCAAGCAGTTGTCCCCTGGGCTCTGCGGTCACGCAACCAACTTCCACGGTGTGGGCAGCCGGGAAGTAACAATCGCCCTCACAATCCGAAATGCACACGAAACCTCTCTATTACTCACTCATCTTTGTCTTCATCATCATCTCTATCATCTTGCCTTCCTTCCACTGATGCAACTCCTCGACTTGATAGCTCTCCACTTCCTCTCCACTCTGCGTCCACTAAAAACGATGGAAGCCAAAAAACCACCACCGACAGCCTCTTAAAGCCGCGCCACCAATTTCATATAGGAGCTCTTAATGTTAGGACACTTTGCCAAATAGGACAACAAGCATCACTAGCCAAGACCCTGGCATCACGAGCCATTGATGTATGCTGTGTTTCAGAAACACGCATACAAGACCCAAGTGTGGTTATTCACCTAACCCCACCTGGCCAACAGGTTGAATCTGCAAAATTCACCTTGAGGGTGTCAGGAGATGCCACAGCTAGTTCACGAGGATTAGCTGGCGTAGGGATAGCTTTGAGTACTAGGGCAGAAAAGACATTGCTTGACTGGATCCCGGTAGATAGCCGAATGTGTGCTGTCCGCCTGAACGGATCAGTAAGAAGGAGGAAGGACTGCACTACTCGCCGATGCCTTTTCGTAATCTCCGCCTACGCCCCCACTGACTGCAGTTCAGATGAAACGAAGGATGAGTTCTACCAAAAGCTGTCTAGTTTGGTGGAAAGGCTAAACGCTCAGACATAGTCGTTCTAGCTGGTGACTTTAACGCTCAAGTAGGGAAATTGTGTCAATCTGAGAAGGATGTCGGTGGCACCTATGGAGCTCCGTGCCAGCGAACCGACAACGGTGACCGTCTCCTACAGTTCTGCTCTGATAATCATTTGTTTCTTGTAAGCACTAACTTTAAACACAAGGAGAGACACTGTTTGACTTGGAGACCCCCTTCATCAAACCAACGCTGGACACAAATAGACCACATAGCAATAAGCTATCGTTGGCGTGGGTCGGTAGGAGATTGTCGCTCCTTCTGGAACACGTGCGTAGATACCGACCATGCACTGGTCCGCGCTCGGGTGTGCTTACGACTGAACGGACGTAGGAAACAGCTGGCGGTAAAACCATCACGTCCCCAGCTCGATCAGGAAACTAAATCCGTATTTCAGGAAGAACTAGCTAAACACATATCTGTGTTCGACAGCTGTGCTCACCCTGAAGAAGCTTGGAAAAATATCCAGGCAGCCATAGATACAGCTGTAAAAGCTGTGAATAAGGTAAACCCAAAGGTGAGTAAAAACCACTGGATCTCCACCGCCTCATCCGAACTGATAGATGCTAGAAGACTTATTCCGGCGAGCTCCGAATTCAATGAGGAGCGAAAGCTGCACAAGAGGAAACTTACGAAAAGTCTCCGCAAGGACCGTGAACAGTGGTGGGCGACAAAAGCCAAAGAGATGGAGAAAGCTTTGAGGATAGGCAACACCAGGCAACTCTTTGGACTCATCAGGGAAACGGGTGGGAGAAGACAAATCATTAGTGAGACAATCTCGGAAAAAAATGGCACTATAATTAGCTCCCAGGATAGACGACTGGATCGTTGGAAAGAGCATTATGAGGAGCAGTTTAATTTGCCCACAGCCACGCTCAACCTTCCGAGCATCCAACACCTCCCTGAATGGGATATAGACACAGGTCCTCCGTCACTAACTGAGGTTACTAAAGCTGTCACCAATCTGAAACTAGGCAAAGCAGCGGGACCTGATGGAATGACTCCAGAGGTATTTAAGTACGGTGGAGACAGCTTACTGTCCGGATTAACTGAGGTACTAGGCAGCGTCTGGGAATCAGAAGAAGTCCCATCGGGTTGGTGTAAGTCACTGATTATCCCCATATACAAGAAGGGAGACAAGTCTTCCTGTGATAATCACAGAGGGATTAGCTTGACTAATATAGTATCTAAAGTCTTAGGCTCAATAATCATGCGTAGACTGAGTGGTGCTCGGGAAGCACAAACACGAGAGAGCCAGGCAGGCTTTAGACCAGGAAGAGGGTGTATTGATCATATCTTCACCCTCCGACAGATTCTAGAACATAGGCATTCCTACCGGCGTCCAACAGTCATTATATTTCTTGACCTAAAGGCAGCATTCGACTCTGTCGATCGGGAAGTTCTCTGGAGATGCTTGGCTGTAAAGGGAATTCCGAGAAAATATATTGCACTGATTAAGGCACTCTACTCGTACTCATACAGCCAGGTGAGGGCTTACGGCGAGCTGTCATCTGAACTGATGACGACCAGTGGTGTCCGTCAAGGATGCCCATTATCTCCTTTTCTATTCAACTTCATCATAGATGTGTTAATGGACTTAACCCTAGGTGACTTCAGCGACTCAGGGATTGACTTGCTACCGGGGAATAATCTCGTTGACTTGGAATATGCAGACGATATAGTCCTTCTAGGCGAAGACGCTGACGAAATGCAGAGTCTTCTAAACACCTTGAGCCGCAATCTACGAATGTTTGGCATGCGATTCGCTCCCGCCAAATGCAAGATGATGTTACAGGACTGGACTACATCGACGCCTAGTTTAAAAATAGGAAGTGAAGTGGTAGAGCACGTTGACCGCTTCACTTATTTGGGAAGTACCATCAGCCCCAACGGGCTGATCTCTGACGAAATCTCAGCACGAATACAAGGGGCTCGTTTCGCATTTGTTAGTTTACGCCGACTCTGGCGTAGACGAGATGTTCGACTATCGACCAAAGGGCGGGTGTACTGCTCATCAGTCCGCTCCGTCCTCCTTTATGGTTGTGAGACCTGGCCACTGAGAGTGGAAGACATGAAAAGACTAGCTGTCTTTGATCATAGGTGCCTGCGTTCTATTTCCCGTGTAAAGTGGCATAATAAGGTGAGCAACATGGAGGTTAGGCGTAGAGTTCTAGGTAAACAGGGGAAATCAATCGACGAAGTCGTGAAGCTACAAAGACTGAGATGGTTAGGACATGTGTTACGTATGCCAAGCCATCGCCTCCCTCGACGAGCAATGTTAGCGGATATAGGGTCAGGCTGGAAAAAAGCTAGCGGCGGTCAAACAAAAACTTGGCATCAGTCAATGAAATCCACAACAGTTGGTCTAAGCCACGTAGGAAGGTGTAGACTTCCAGGCTGGGGTCCTCGGGACGGTAAAAATCTATGGTTGGAAACAATTGGTGACATGGCTCAAAATCGTTCTCAGTGGCGCAGATGCATCCACTCCTTGTGACTTACGATTTCCAATAAATCTGTTTTGTTCTTCGTTAATACTCCTTTGTCTCACGCCTCTGCTTACGATCTCTGTTATGCTTTTCTTGTACTTTCTTCTCTTGCTTTGTGTGCTACATAGAGTGTGGCGGCTTGAACTGCCGCACATGTGTGCAATGTTTTATGTCGAAAACAGACAGACAGACCCACATAGACTCTAAGCTTAGAAATATGGGAGTAAAGTGGTGATGTGTGTAGACCACTTCACTTATTCGGGAAGTCGTATCAGCCCGAACGGGTTGGTCACTGACGAAATATCAGCACCTATACAGAAGACGATTTCGTCATACACCAACTTACGCCATCTCTACCTTAGTAGACGTGATATCCGGCCGGTTTTCAACCAAAGAACGTGTTTACTGCTCATCAGTTCTCTCTGTCCTCCTTTATGTGTGTGAGACACGGCCAATAGAAGTGGAAGACGTGGAAATCAGTAGACGAGGCTGTGAAGTTACATCGATTGAGATGGTGAGGACATGTGTTATGCACCATCCCAGGCCACTGGTCGCCTTCGTCGACAGTGAGTGTTAGTTGACACAGGATGGATCAGGTTCGAATAGAGCTAGTCGTAGTCAAAACAAAACACGGCCACAACCGTTAGTTTAAGCTAGCCACGTAGGATGGTGTAGACTACCTCACTGGTTGGGATCCTCGGAATGTAAAAACCACCAACGACTGGAGACAATTGGTGATATGGCTCAAAATTGTTCTCGATAATGGCCCAGATGCATCCGCTCCTTGTGATTTACAATATTCAATGAAACTGTATTGTTCATTGACATTACTGTTGTTTTTGCCTCATACTTCTGTTTAGTATCTCTTTTGATGAATCTTTCTTTACTCTCTTCTCTTGGTTTGTGTGACACATGGAGGGAGTGTGACAACTCGAATAGCTGCACATCTGTGGAAAGCTCTGTGTTGAAACCAGTCAGTCAATTATGTGTCTAGTCCTTTCTTTGGTGCAGACTGAGGAGATATCAAAGTTATATAGGGCCACGGTCAGGTCGCTCAACATTCTAAGTCTACCTGAGTGGGATGTCGATATACGCCCTCCAACTGTAAATGTGGCTACAAAGAATATCCCTAATCTGAAACGATGTGAAGTAGCAGGACTTGACGGAATGGCCGCAAAGCACGATGATGAAAAACTGTCTTGGAATACTGGGGCATTAGATTAGTGGTGGAAAGGTTTGATCACAGTTCACACGGGTCTTCCTGTGATAATCACAGGAATATGTTGGGCTAATTATGCATCGACTAGGTGGAGCTTACGGAAATCACTTCACAATATTACACTGGCTTCTTTTACGGCAGCAAGAGGATGTATTAATAATATCTTCCCTCTTCGGCTGGAACGTCGTAACAAATACCGGCGACGAAAAATTGTACTATTTCTTGATATGAAAGTCATATATGACTCTGTCGCCCGAGATGTGCCATGGTACTATCTGACCGTGAAGCGAATGCCGAGAGAGTATACGGCACTAACCGAAATTGCGAAGCAACGGAAGAGTTGTCATTTGAAGTGATGATAGTAGGTGATGTATCTCAGGAGTGCTCACTGTACTAACTATGGGGGTTCCTGATGCATTGATTACTGAAAAATGTCACGACGGACAATAACGGCTCGTGTGGCGTTTGCCGACTCATTTTATTTTTTGGCGTAAATATGATATCCGGCTATCAAAGGATGTGCGTAAATTGCAGGATTTCAGACAGTCTCGCTTTATGGCTGTGAGATGAGGCCATTGAGAGTGGCACCTACGAAAAGGTCGGTTGTCTTTGATCATATGTTTTAGCAACCTGTCTCCCGTGTTAAGCGGAATAATATGGTAAGTAATACTGAGGTCAGGCGTAGGGTGCTAGGCAAAAAGAGGAAGGTTGATCGATGACGCTATCTAGCTACGCTGATTGGGCTACGACATGTGTTTTACATTTCAGGTCATCGCCTTCCTTGACGTGCAATGTAATCCAACCTAGGATCAGTTTAAAAAGATTTAGGGGTGGTCATACTGACTTCAATCTGTGAAGTCTTACATTTGAGCCATGTAGGGAGGCGTAGACTGCGTGATTAGGGATCTTTGGGTTGCTCTATGTTGGTGATATGGTTGAAGATCGGTGTCAGTGGTGGGTATTTATTCACTCTTTAGGATCTCCCATACCCACTGAATACCCATATTCTACTACATTCCTACTTTTTCTTTCTCCAGTATATTTCTACTTCCTTTCAGCTCTTTGGAATCTCTTATGCACCTTCGTGTACTACATGGAGTGTGACAATTTGGGCCGCTGCATTTTTTTGCTGAAACTCAGTAAATGGTATGACAATTAAGGTGACAGCATACATGGTTTTAAGCAACGTATAGAAAGCCGCCCTTGTTTTAAATTACACAATGTAAGAAAATCTGTCGGTTCACTGAACTCATCTGCACGTAAATCCAGTATTGTTGGTAGACATATTCCTCAGCTTAATACTGCTTATCGTGTTTATATTTTGTTCGGTGCTGCACTATCTCAGCGTGATTGAATGTTATTCTAGACATTTGCGTAAAGGAAATGCTATTCAATAGATGCTTAAGACTTTTAGTACTAACACCATATATGTAAGAAATCATATTATCAAGTGTATTTGCAAGGAACTAGCATTGTCATAATGATTAGAAAAACTGTACAAAAGGAATCGCTATTTCTAGAAATACGCTATAAAATCACAAAGTTCAAATAAATCATCACTATTCAAAAGATTGTTTATGTACACAGCTCAGCATTGAATTATGATTATTGGCCAAAGATGGTGCATAATTTGCAGATTGCTTAATCGAAAATATGGTTGCATGAGAATATTCATTTGTCAGTTGAAGATACCTTGTTTCCTAAGGTCTGTGATACCTGCAAGAATCAAAGTGTAGAATTAGTAATTAACAGAAAGAACACCAAAAGTCAACTATTAATATGTGTCAAGTAAGAGTTTAGTGTAAGCATAGTCCCGACTGCAAATACAGGCAAACGCTTTATTATTACTGAATGGGAAATCATGTATTAAGAATTCTCATGCTAGCTTTTATACAAGTACAAATAAGTGTGTCATTCATTTCCAAATACATTGTCTTTAAGATGATTGCGACAGCTGAGTGAATACAAACATTTAATGGGTTTTAAAAAAACACAAAAGTTAACTTTAGCTTCCCGAAAATTGCAATCGTCCTTTAAATTTGTCATCTTTGTAACCAAGATGTAGGGTTAAGATTTGTATGGGCATCCTTAATCTCAGTTCATATCTGCAAACGTGTAGTATACATTACAGGTTACAATATGGTCTACACGTGTTCGCTTATCAGACTGTGAAAAAACGAAATATATGTAATTCATTTTGATCGCATACTAACTAGTATTATGCGTCTAGTCCTTTGTATGCTACAGACTCAGTTCTATCAGTCAAATTTGCAATGTGACCACCATTTGTTTATGATAGGTGATGGGCGAACCGATAATGATATCTGAGGAACTTCTCGACCAAAGATGGAGCAAACAAGAATCGAAGCCAGTTTTAGTGATGTCCCAATTCGCTATGTTATAAGTCACACAGTCATCTAGCGTAGTTATTCAATTTTATACAGTAGAGTTTAATACTTACCTGGTATAATGTCGACTTTCAGCATGAACATCCATCTCAGTGGCTTTAAATTCGTTTAGCTCTTTCCTTATATCTGCCTGTATAGTTAGAAAAACATAAATTAAGTTAGCATTTATCAGAATGATTGAAAAATTGATAATGTATGCATCAGTAAGTAATGTGTACTTTTGTGACAGACAAACCAATAGCCTCAGATACTCATGACCATTTATCCATAGCGTTAATAATAACAACCTTTAGCAGAAATATGTCAGTTGATACTTTTGAGAAATTGTGAAAAAGAATCATACTACAACCAAGGATAGATAAGAATTAAATTTGGCGTGATAAGGTCGAGGCTTCTGAAAGAGATGTGCATCACTTTAAGCACAAACGTAAGTAAACATAATAGAGATGTCCTGAACCTCGAACATAATGAAGTGCATGAGAACGATTTCACGAAATCCTCGGTTGGTTGAGATGTGCCTTATTTCCAGATTCTGTCTGACAGCAATTTATGAGCCCTTCAAATGAGTTTGGTGAGACTAGAGATCAGAAACAGACTTGACAACATTTTGAATAAAAGGGATAAGTAAATTTCCATAGTTCGCAAACCACAGACAACAATAGTAGATAGGAATAAAGTGACGAATAGACAATGTAAAACAGAATGAAGACTAAATGTCTACAGACCTTATCAATCCATTACAAACAAATATTTCTAGCCAGTAATTTTACAGATCTTTGAAGTTGTCCTTACCATTATTTTTCAAAAGAACACTGAAAGCCTTCGTTACGTGACGTCATGCCTTAATCTGGTTGACAACAATTGAGTGAAGGATAAGAACATGGGATCTAACTACTCAGGTGATTAATGATCATTGCATGTGTTCCGAGCGGGAAGTGGGGTTTCAATAGCTTTTCTCCATTGTATTCGGTTATCTGACTGCTCAAAAGATTTCATTTCTTCTTCAGCTGATCTCCGTGTTACATTCGGACCCAAGCCCAAATCACTGCTTTCCACTAGATGGCTGAACGTCCGATTTCAGTGGAAAGTTACTTTAATGTATGTCCAGTCCGTCCCTATTTCCTTCCACATATTCATTTAGCAATAGGTTCGTGACTCATTCAATGCCAAAATTCCTTGTTACTCATCCTCTTCAGCCGACCAGTATCTAAACAGCGAAAGCAGGTGTTGATGAAAGTTTGCTACGAAGCCTGTTAGAAATGCTTTTAGTGATGTGCGCGAGAAAGTTACTGGTTCTTATAGAAACAGCGACCTGACATTCGTTCTAAGATATTACACTAAGCATGAAATTCCCGGCTATCCGCCTCAATTATGTATGCTGAGTGGTTCAAACAGTTGTGAACACAATTTGAGTTGAGTTTTTATCTAAATCTGGAGAACTTGCGCTACAGAGATCGTTCTAAGTATCAGGACCGACACAGTATTATTTGACTGGACAACCGTTAACAGTCATTGATGGTCCGTTAGGTTAGAAAATTAGAATGATAAGCGACCTTACAGAGAACCGATGTCTTTTGTTCATGTCAGTCTACGCACTGACTGATTGTACTCAATGAGTGAGCTTCTTACGATAGTGCAACCAGAAGATAAGGTGATGATAACTAGAAACACTGATCGAGCATCTTAGCTCAGTGGCGAGTAGTTTGAGTGCCTTGTTAGTGGCCGATAAGACAAAAGGAAACTTCTTCTGTAACTTTACACAGAACAAAATGTACTCCTAATTAGAATCAACTTCCAGCACAAACATCACCTGGAGTTGTTCGATTGACATTTAAGCCTAAACTCAAACAGATCCCATTCCTAATAGCTATCGACGATGTAGGTGCATACGGGATTGCGTATCATTCCGAAGACCTTGATTAGATTCGGATGATCCTTTAGACTTAGTTAGATTTCTATTCAGATTTGTAATTAGTTATAAACATCGTCCTAAACACCGTTAAGTAAGGAAATTGGTTGCACATATTAATGCAGCCAAACACCAAACCGAGCCACCAGAAGGCATAAACGAACACTTACAAGAGATGATGATAACAGGTAATGAAGCTGCTTGCGGATTGGGTTATGCGCTAAAACCTAATGTGCTCCTGAAAGTTCGTTGAAAGTTGTTGACGTCTGTTAGTTCATTCCGCCGAATAGTATGTAGAAAAATATATACGTAAGACTCTTACTGATATGTATCCACATATATATATTTATGTGTGTGTGTGCATGTTGGTCTCTCTTTCTGTTTGCTCGGTTAGTCTGTGACCACTTCACTTGTATGGACTTGTCTCCTTTAATAATGTGTATTCTCCTTATATTATATTATATATAATATGAGTGTTTGTTGACAGTCCGTTGCTTGGTGACATATATCCATATATGTTTGTTGGCATGTCTGCTATATTCGCTATGTATAATTGGATCGACACTCCATTATAATTAGCCATTCATGTTAAGACTGTCTAATGATTTTTCCCACGCTTGTCTGAATTATTTATATATATTCGCATTCACAATTTGTGTGAACTACTTTACTTTACAACTACTTTACTTACTTACCACTTTGGTGTGAGACCATTTATTTTCGTCTCCTTGTGTTTGGACAATAGAAGTATCATCGCAAACCTAGTGGTCTTCTGATTTCCGCCTTCTTTCGTCAGGACTATTAGTTTCTCGACCAGTCCATAATAATAACTTAGCGACGAGTACATAACAATTTGGCGACGAGTACATAACAATTTGGCGACGGGGAAACTAGTACATAACAATTTGGTGACGGGGAAAACTACTATTAACCACTCAGCAGCAGCAACTTAACAATTTACTATGGATCCTATTAAATTGGAATTATTGTTCGAACGACAAATGAAATTAATGGAAATGTTCGTCAACCAACAGACTGGTCCAGCTCCACCTTCAAGCAATCCCAATCATACCATGCTACCATCTGTCGACGGAATTGTGAACAGCATTTCACAGTTCAATTATGACCCAGAGGCTAATGTCACTTTTGACACATGGTATCAACGTTATGAGGATTTATTCACTGTTGATCTCGCCTCACAAGACGATGCCTGGAAGGTGCGAGTTTTGCTACGTAAATTGGGTCCGGCAGAATATGAACGGTACTGCAACCTAATTTTACCACAGAAACCACGTGACAATTGTTTCGATGATACAATAAAGTTGCTGCGTGAACATTTCGGAGACCACTCCTCATTATTCAGTATACGTTATCGTTGCCTCAAGCTGGCAATGAATGAAAATGATGATTTTCTTACTCACGTTGGCACAGTCAACCGAGAATGTGAGAGATTTCGACTCAGGTCCTTAACAGATGATCAATTCAAAGCCTTGATTCTCATATGCAGTCTCCAATCTCCTCGTTTCACAGATATCCGAACTCGACTGCTCAATCAGCTAGAACAAAATCCCAAGTTAACATTACATGACATAGCTGATGAATATCAACGGCTGATTAATCTGCAGAAAGACACACACCTGGTCGAATCAACACCTCCGAGAAGCTCTGATATTCGTGCATTACGCAAGAGCAAAAATCTCTCATCATCTACTCCTGACCCACCTACTTCTCTTAATGTTCCGCGGAAATCTACAAATACTCGTCCAACTTCACAAAATACGACAAAGAAGACCCCTCCATCACCATGCTGGCATTGTGGCGCGTGGCACTTTGTAAAGTCTTGCCCATACAAAAATCATCGTTGCAGCAAGTGCAAAATCATCGGTCATAAAAATGGGTTTTGTCAGCCACGCCAACTCAGATATCATAATCCAGCAAAAGCTCAACAAAATGTCGGTCCTAAATCTCCAAAAAGATCACTGAGTCTACGTGCAACCTGTCAAGTCACAACACCAGCTATGCGGAAATATATTGACCTTCAGATGAATGGTCATGATACTCGTCTGCAGCTAGATACTGCCTCTGATATTACTGTTATATCAGAGAAACTTTGGAATTATATTGGCAGACCACCTATCACCAATACTTCCCAGTCTCTTCTCAGCGCCTGTGGTGGGCGGCTCAAACTAATTGGTGAACTCAAATGTTCTGTTTCCTTCCGCAATACCAAATTCACAGGAATTTGTTACGTCACGAAGAATGATTTAAATGTTTTGGGACTTGATTGGTTCGATCGTTTGCATCTGGCTGATGTCCCACTAAATTCTCTACGCAATACAGTGAAGAAGCATAAAATGCTAGACAATTCCGGACGGAGCCGAAGCCGCAAACCCAACAATCAGACGAAACGACAGGCGTCAACAACAAGCCCAAAGGTCCCAGATAAACCCCCAGGTAAACATCCTACTAATCATTCATCTTCTCAAAAGGGGAGGTGATATGTATCCACATATATATATTTATGTGTGTGTGTGCATGTTGGTCTCTCTTTCTGTTTGCTCGGTTAGTCTGTGACCACTTCACTTGTATGGACTTGTCTCCTTTAATAATGTGTATTCTCCTTATATTATATTATATATAATATGAGTGTTTGTTGACAGTCCGTTGCTTGGTGACATATATCCATATATGTTTGTTGGCATGTCTGCTATATTCGCTATGTATAATTGGATCGACACTCCATTATAATTAGCCATTCATGTTAAGACTGTCTAATGATTTTTCCCACGCTTGTCTGAATTATTTATATATATTCGCATTCACAATTTGTGTGAACTACTTTACTTTACAACTACTTTACTTACTTACCACTTTGGTGTGAGACCATTTATTTTCGTCTCCTTGTGTTTGGACAATAGAAGTATCATCGCAAACCTAGTGGTCTTCTGATTTCCGCCTTCTTTCGTCAGGACTATTAGTTTCTCGACCAGTCCATAATAATAACTTAGCGACGAGTACATAACACTTACTTAATGCACGTGACAATTATTATGTTACTAGTCATATCGAAACTACTGGCTTATTTCGTTTGTTACATGTTTTGTACACCACGTGAAACATTGATTCGCTAAGATTAGATGTAGGTTTTTTCTTCAGGTCAATATAACGTGTTCATCTTTCTTCAGAGACTGTCAATGTGAACTGAAAAACCAAAGTTAGTTTCAAACTCCTGGAAAAATTAGACCATTTGTCTGTTCAGCCAATTTACTGGAATGAAAATTGTTTCTACAACACTGGTGAATGGTTTAATTTTAAAAGATGTAAGTAAAATTCCAATATATCAATCAATTAAAATTCTTACTTTATCACGTAGAGTTAACCGAGTCCATGGTTTATCTGTTCGACGATCATAAGCATCAGCTTCACTGACCTCAACATAATCATTGAAACGTATGATTTTACGTCGGCGGAGTTCTTCAACAGTTGGTCGAAATGACAACTGTGAAAGTAAATAGAAAACAAGTCTACAACTTTTCAAAATGATTTAAAAATGCTGTTTTTTTTTTCGAAAACTGTAAGAGTAAGAGAAAGTCCACGTGTGTTTAGTGAGTAATGTATATTGTATATATTCAGTGACACAAATACATGTGTAGCCTAAGTAGTTAAGTTAAAGAGCACACTTCTCATCATGTCTTGCTATTTATCATATGATGTAATTAATGTGTCAGTGAAGAATTTTCATAGATAAATATATTTATAGAGGTCATTTCAGTTGGTTGGTGAGTAACCTTAAAATACAGATTCTCTGTTAGAAATGAATAATTGCCTACACTTGAACTTTTTATTCACAATTCTGATTAGAAAGGTAGTATAAGTAGTAGTAAAAACCGTTGTCAACATCTTGTTATTTGCAGTTAACTAAGGGAAATCAATCAGGAACCGATTGTGAAACAAATAGGCAGAAAGAAATGGAGATGGATTGGCCATACGCTGAGGAAACCATCAAGTGACATCACTAGACAAGCCCTCGAGTGGAACCCGAAAGGGAGGCGGCGAGTTGGTCGTCCAAGGGTGACTTGGAGGAGGTCATGCGAGGAGGAGATGAAAGCATGTGGACAGACCTGGAGCAGGTTGAAAAAGTTGTCAGAAAACCGAAGTCAATGGAGGTGCGCAGCTGAAGCCCTATGTTCCTCTAGGAACTAAAGGATATAATAATAAGGGAAATCAAAAGTCGGACAAAAATTACTGATTGATTGGTTGATTGATAAATAAATACACAAGACTAGTTTTATATTGACAATGCAATTTGAAATACCAACAATGCCATAAATGCACTTACTTCTAGTTTATAAATCGCCTAATTCATGGATATAACAGTATCCTACAATATATGCGCCATTTGATGAGTATATTTTTAGTTTGTTTTAATATTTATCACAGTCTTAAGTCGAATTTAACACCACTGAAACATCGCAACTGAAACTAATATTTCTAGCATATCAGGATTATTTTGAGAAGAAATGATGAAAACAAAAATGGGACTTTGCCATCTGAGTGATATCAGCAGCTTCGTAAGCATAAAGAGAACACGGATAATAATATCAATGTCATAATCATACCATCTCTTTATTCATCCGACCTAATATGGATCGGTATGAACTTGTAAATACTAGCATACGATTAAACACTCAGATATTCAATGATTCCAAGAAAAATGAAGGTGTTTAAGTCATAATGAATAAACCTGAGATAAACATCTTAGGAACAAGCATTCGAGATTCAGTGTTGATCAACTCATAGGTGTCACTAATGTTTTTGTAAGTTGATATCTAATCCCAGATATATGGACAACAGATAATTAAAGCAAAATGTAATGGTGATTTTCAAACATGCAACTGAATGGAGTGATTTAAAGGTGACACCCTCTCCTGAAACTTTTATAACGCGGAAGAATATTGCTACAGATAGCACTACTGAATGATCGAACTATTTGTAGAATCTGTTGTCTTGGCATCACAGATGCACTGCTCTCTCTCTCTCTCTCTCTCTCTCTCTCTATATATATATATATATATATATATATATATATATATATGAAGAAACTAGCTTTACTTCTCAGTAAACGTTATAAATGACAGATATATGGTTAGTATGAAGAAGACCTGTTTACTTCACAAACTATGAAAGGTTTCTATCTAACGACTTTTTGCACGACTCTCCCGGCTAGTGATCTTGTCTATCCTTTTTCTTGTTACAATGGGATAAACGTGTTTACAACAGTGTACAAACATGGGATGGAAAAAATAGATATGCAGATGATTGAAAACTAGTGGAGGTGATTTACTTAGTAGACATTAATACACCAAAAAAGTAGGCATTCAGTATAATTAACTATCACCGAAGTCTATCGACTAGTTGAGATGCAATGGTATCGTTTAGCTTAATGATACGATACACTGAGGAATATATATATATATATATATATATATATTTCAGTGCACTACAATTTAATATTGTACGTAGAGAGGAAACAGGGGACAGAAAACCTAGGTTTTCTGCTTGTCGACAATGCTCAATAAAACATACATGTAACAGCGATATATATATATATATATATATATATATATATATATAGACTTCATTCCCTTAGATATTCGAACCTGTGTCATTCAGTAGATGAAATTCATCAACCTTAATACTAAATTACTCAGGCATGAAACAGAGAATTGACTCACTATTTACATTTAGAAAACTGTTTTTATGAAGCTAAAAAAACAACTTTAAAAAGTCCTATCCATAACTGAGATGTGTTACCTTTGTAATAACACTGTTTACAATACTTCTTAATGTATGTAATTTAAAATCACATGGACAATAGTATACTTTTCACTTATTAGCAATTATCAACTAGTTACCAGTAAAGCAAGTATTCTCGCAAGGGCGTCATCATGATATCTCACTAAGCTATGAACAAATACATCAATAACTAACTAAGTACCTATCAAACCTTGTTTACTAAAATTCTATATACTTCTTTATACTAGCCATATTATGTTTATGATTTTGAAAATAAGACTAATTTGACAGCTGAAACTTGTATGACATGTGAAGTAAAATGGTAGACTTTTGCTGTTGTAGTATGCAGGTTATCGACTTTTTGAAGCACCACATTCTACCGGTAAGATTGAAGTATGAAATAAGTGTATGTTTACCTCCTGTGAGAAATGCACCATTGTGTGTGTACGAAAGATTATCCACTAATGCACAAATTAAATGATTCATTGGTTCTGTTCAACTTATTCTATACAGTTGGTATACGACTAATGTAATGTTATTCAACTCGACTTTAGAAAATGCGTTCAAATATAACCTGACTTTAAAAAAGTTAACTGCTCGTATAGTTTTATTGTTTCTAACAGATTTACTTGTGCACACGACAGTAACAGTTTCACTAAATTTAGTAAATATATATTCAATAAAGAGAAGCTCATATGCATAAGCATTTTGTTGACCTTTGCTTTAAATCCATGCTTAACCTCATTAATTGCGCACAATACTTACCTTTAAGATGAAAATAAATTCAGTCGCTAATACTCGCAGAAAAAAAACAGAGAGAAAAAAAATAAGAAACTCTTTAAAGCAATGAATAATATTCATCTTGAAATAAGCTGTGTCCTAGAGTAGTACTATGGCTGTTGAACCGTCATACGAACGGATAAAAGTAAAATTTACACCATACCATCGGCTGGAACCAATGGATGAAGGTGATTCTAAGCTTTTGTTGTTGTCGAAAATTTGAACCGCTAACCATCCTCATCAGTCGAAATGATCACAACTCGCCTGAAAGTAATCACCAATGGGCCGTGATTTGACTGACACACTTATTTTTCGGCGAATTCATTTTCATAGCCGTACAATCGTAAATATATATATATATATATATATATATATATATATATATATATATATATATATATATGATTGTTTTTTGTATGTGTGTGTACATTAAATTTGTCAAACAAAAATACAATTAGTAAGTTCAGATGAACTGGGTGTTGCTATAAGAGGGTAGTAACAAAAGTGATGAGTTGTCACAAACGACTGTTAAAGAAGATTTAAGTAATAATAACATGAATAGTTTGACGAAAGAGTTGTGCTCAGGGTGTACATGGAAACAAAACAACATGCGGAGTTACGCAAGGGTTTTAAGTGGTTAGAAAAGAAATAAATAAGCATACAAGCAAAAGTTAAGTCGAATCAACAGAGTTATTAACAAGATAGTAGAAGTGGTTGAATAATTTTCTTTTGTATGCATAGTTCTGGTTCTTCCAATTGAATGGCTAGGGCTTCTGCAATGCAAAGAAGACGGAAACGTTTTGTCCTTGACGGGTTGTTCTTCACTATGTAGATTACTTGGAGGCAGGAGGCATTTGTTGAGATGGAATGACCATAGTGGTGGCGAGATATTCGATTATTGCACTTATACGGTCACTACTTCCTTCCTGCAGCCACGCTGGATAGTGTTCTTTGACCCTTTTGACAAGATGCGCGTTGAACGACCGATGTACCTGGCTCCACAGCAACAGGTGGACTGATATATACACATAGAAGTGGTCATGTGCGGGATCTTGTCCTTTGGGCTTGAGAAGCTCAGCTGCGCGACTGGAGAACACTACTCTCAGTGTTGTCGCAAAGAAAGATCTTCTTAAAGAAGTCAAAATTCTCCTCCTAAGGACATGACTGAGTAGGTCACTTTTAAGTCAAGGTTCATATAAAGTATCTGTTTTGGCAAGGATGGTGTCTCTTGCTTTTGGATTTTCTGTCTGATGTTTTTGTCTACGAATCTTGATGGATAACCGTTTTGTAGGAAGATTTCTTTCAGGAAGTGTAGTTCTTCTTCCAGGGTATCAGAGCTGCAGATGCGTCGGACGCGAGTGGCAAGAGTTCTAATTAGGTTTCTTTTTCGACTGATTGGTACCCAGCTGTAGAAGCTTGTCAGCTGACCGTTCCATGTGGGTTTCTTATGGATGGACCTTCTTAAAGTTCCGTCAGCTCTCCTTGTAAGTTCAACGTCAAGAAAAGGAATTTTAGATTCGTTTTCAATTTCAAGAGTGAACTTTGTAGCTGAATGGCATTTGTTCAATATATGTAGTAACTGATTGAGATCGTGACCGTCATCACAGATAATAAAGATGTCGTCCACATATCTAACATTCAAGTGAAAATTGTCGATAGTTGATTTGAGTCCGCCGTTCTCGAGGTTTGCCATGAAACAGTCTGCTAGTAATGGGCCCAATGGAGATCCCATTGCGATCCGATCTTGTTGTCTGTAGTTAACATCGTTGAATGTGAATTGCACATTGAGTGTATATCTCAGCAGTAGTTCTTTTAAACAATTCGTCAGTAATCCGATGTTCAGCTGATTTTTGTCTATGTATTGACAAATGTGATAGACAGTTTCTGTGAGTGGAACGTTGGCATATAGTGGCTCAATGTCGA